CATGTCGGCTAGGTTGCCCCTCCAGAAAGACAGGATACCCAATCCTTAGGAACACAGACAACACAGTCCCTGATGCTCTAGGTCATGACATGCTCACTGATGTTTTGCATCTGTTAAACTGCTCTATCTGCTCCATCAATGACTTGATTGTCTTAAGGTGGTGACAATGTTGCTGTCCAGGAAGTCCTTGGTAAAAGAAATGGCCTGTTATGTTATGGTGACAGTGCAGGCAGAAAACTGGTTAACAGGCAGCCAGCCAGAAGAGTCAGCCCCACCAACTCAGCACTGTTGCTGCCAGACCAAAAGGTTTACCTTCTATTCCTGATCTGGGTTAATGGCATCACCATTTTACCTGTCTCCCAATTTAGAAATCTTGGTGTTATTCTCACCTCTTTCCCCTCACCCTCCATATGCAGTCAGCTGCCAAATCTTGCTGCTTCTAATTTTAAAACATCACTTGATTCTGCCTCTCCCAAATCCTATGCTTGTTCCTTAAAATAGGCCTTCATTATATCTTCTTTGGACTATAATTGCAATAGCCCCATCATCTGTTCCTCTGATAACAGATTTTCCCCATGTTCTCCACTACTGTATCACTGAGAGCAAAGCTTTTGAAGTCATTTTCTTCTATACAAGCTCCTGTTGGTTCTCTCTATTCATGACATTCAAACCCTGATGCTTACATAAAGTTTCACCCCTTGGTTCCTACCTATCCTTTGTGCCCGCTTTCTGGTCTATGTTGATATGATTTTCTCTGCATACATTCTAGATTCCTGCAGCTTCATATTATCTTATGTTCTGCATGTAGACTTGTACTTTCATATGTGTGTACATAGTTTTAAGCTGTTCTCTTTTCTCTGTCTTCACTTGAGAATTCACACATCTGCTCAAACCAAGTTTAAGCATCATCTCTCTGGGAAGCTTTGACAGATTCTCTCCCAGGCTGTTGGATGTCCACTTTCTTTTGCTCTAAGAGTATTTTATAGTTGCTACAGATTTTACAGTGTGGTATGTTTTATTTATAGATTTGTATTTGGCAATTGAGTATAAGCTCTGTATTATCAACAAGATAGAAACTGATAAGTATTGACAAATGAGTGCAATATTATTTTCCTCCATAATTGCTTTTGATATCTCCCTTTCTTTCTTCCTACTACAGCCTTAATACACAATCAACTAAAACTTAGACTTCAATGGTCTCTAAATTGACAATCTAGAGAAATACTGTTTAGTGAGGTAGCCATTATTTACCCATGGTTATTGAACATTTGAAATTTGGTTAGGCCAGATTGGAATGAGCTGTAAGAGTATAATACACGCAGTACACATTGCATTTTGGTGACACTATTAAACAAGTATTAAAATATCTCAATAAATTTTAATACTCACATGTACAGATGATATTTTGGATACAATGAAGTTGAAGTGCATTAAAGTGAATTCTACTTCTATCTTTCCTACTTTTAGATGTAGCAAGTAGAATATTTAAAATTACATATGTGCCTGAGTGTGATGATGTACATCTTTAATACAAGCACTTGGGAGGCAGAAGCAGGTGAATCTTTATTAGATTGAGGCCAGCCTTGGTCTCCATAGCGAGTTCCAGGCCAGCTGGAGCTACAGGGAGACCCTACCTCAAGAGGACCCCCCCCCAAAAGGAATAAAATTATATATATGGTATGCATTTTATTTCCATTAGACCCTTTAGTCTCTCCAATGGGTTATTTCTTCGTGGAGAGCCTGTCTTCTGTTTTCTGAATACTTACAGTGCTAGACAGAATTTTCAGAAGGCAGACTGAAGACATAAAAAATAATGATTATTAATTGGTTATTACTGGACTAATTTTCCTAAATGATATTTTTTTTTTTTTTTACCATTCTGTAAGTTGAAGAATCTATTGCTAATGTGTCATGGCAAGATTGTTCTGCCTGACTGCCCAAATCATCCATAAAACTGCCAAACTTGACTTATCCAGCCTCCGTCTTCACTCCATCCTAAGCAGTACTCCTTGGTCCATTTTATCTTCCAAGCTACTTGACACCTTTATGCTTTTGTGTATGCATCTTTTCCTCAATATTTCCCTCCATAGCCTCTTTGTAATTAATTTTTTAAAATTTTATTATTTTTATTTTATGTGTATCTGTGTATTGCCTGAATGTAGGTAAGTGCACCTGTGTCATGCAATGCCCGCAGAGGTCAGAAGAGGCTGTTGGATTCCCTGGGCCTGGAGTTACAGACAGTTGTTAGCTGCCATGTGGGTGCTGGGATTCGAACCCGGGTTGAGAACAGCCAGTGTTCTTAATCACTGAACCATCTCTCCAGCCCCCCTCTTTGTAATTTACATGTCAATTTTCAGAACATGGCTCCTAAGTTTACACTCACAGTCTTTTTTTCTTCTGTTTATTGTTACTTATTCCCATGTCCTCCTAAATCTTTGTCAGAATTATGCAGCTTAAGTTTTAATTTTTTCAGGTGCTGAGCATCTTTGCTACTGGTGATCAAGGTCTAGGCTGGGTGTTTCCAGTTTGTTTGCCTCTTATTCAAGAATAAAATAAAAGCCCACAAAGATTTGCAAAAGTGTGTAGGAGACTTTATTTTAAGCAAAACAATAGAAAAGGCCAGAATACGCTACAAGAGAGCAGCAGGCCACATGAGCAAAAATACTCTGGTTATTGTTTGGGGCTTCCTTTTATAATGTTGAAGAGGAGGAGTATGGTTAGTAGGGGTGTAATTTGGGTGGCTCTTTATCTTGATTGACAGGCTTAGATTGCATAGGCCTTTGCTTACTATACATGTCCTAATGTATCTGGTTTTAGTTATATACATGCCTGATTATTCACAGGTATAAGATAATGAATAAGCGATTCTCCCTAAAAGTTCATTTTCAGATGAAGTTTTGCCTTATTGCATCCCAAACCAATTCAGGCTGGAATGCCTCCCATCACTATACCTGAACATAACTGTCCAAATTTGATGGTCGTTAGGGGAAGAGAAACTAATCCCACTATTTGGAGTGGGGTATGCATGCAGCTTGATGCAAATAAGGGTCTTAGGTTGCTAACAGGTTGCTAGGTGCATTGTTCAGAGAAGAGTGTGTGTAGACAGTAAGTGCAGATAAAGCTCTTAGACTGCCTTATTAGAAAAGGGGTGTACAAAAATAGGACATCTATACCACACCTCTTTCCACAAAGCCTCAGGGACCATCATAGAAGAAGGGGCATAAAGATGGTTAGACTGGAGTGAGTGAAACCATGTCTTCTGGGCATGACAGGCCCTCTGTATTCATGAACTCACAGAAGCTGCGATTGCCTGCAGAAAACCTGTCAAGGTCCATCTAGCCATCATTCCAGTATGGAAGGGGGATGGGCATGGAGCCCCAATCCCATGGTGAGGATCTACTGACAATTGATGGCTGCTAGGGGAGAGAGAATCATTTTCTTTAAGAGTACGGCCCCTGATAGGTGCACCAGGTTCCAATGGATGACCCTATAGTCATGAACATATGGTCAGCACACATTGAACTTAGTAGATTATTTTTAAAAAGACATAAAGTTGGGAGTGGGGTTGGGGGGGTGGATCTGAGAGGAATTAGGGGGAAGAGTGGCAGTGAATTATGATCAAAATGCATTGTATGCATGTAGGAAATTCTTAAAGAATTAATACAATGTTATATTAAAAAAGGGATGCCAGGCATGGTGGCACATGCCTTTAATCCCAGCACTCAGGAGGCAGAGGCAGGTGGATCTCTGTGAGTTCGAGGCCAGCCTGGTCTCCAATTCTAGCTGGTGAATCCAGGCCAGATGTAGCTACAAGGAGACCCTGTCTCAAAAAAAACAAACAAACAAAAACAAAAACACACACAAAAAAACCAGACAAAAAAACCAAACAAAACAAAATAACAAAAAGAGGGATGTAGCCCAAGCCAAGTGGAGTCCCAGGTTGATAAACTCTTCTCTGGTTTTCCTGCCTTATCTTTATTTCCCTATCCAATTTGAGTCACTGTGCAAAGAGTGTTGAGGGATATGGTCGCCTTTATGTAAGGCCTCTGCTAGTAATTATCCTTTCAAAATGGTGTGATATGGAAAATTCTGCTCATCGCCTATCTAAGCATCTATCCTACCACAGCTCAGGGTTATGTTTATTTTGATTACATAAGACCTACATAGGTACTCCTAATATTAATCCACAACGAGCCAAGCCATTTGTCTCACTGAGTTCAAACCTAGTGGGCCTGACTTAGGGACTACGGGTTATAATTAAGAGTGTCTTCTTTCCGTAGTTCCGTTTTCTTGCATTGAAGAACATTGTTTACATGGTTTCTTGCTAACATGACACCCCTTTATTATTTCACTCCTTGATTTATACTTTCCCTTCTTGTTGGGTTTACTGCCTTATCTTTTAACTACCACTGAATAGCTCTTGTAGGTCAAGTTACTTGGGTCCTTCATGTCTCATTTTCATCTGTATAATGAGACTATCAGTATCATAAAGTGTGGTCAGGTTAAATAAGCAATTAGTTCATTCCACAGAGCAACCACTCAATAAATGCATGTCACTACTAGACTACTATTGCTAAAATGTAAGATTTTAGTTTCACATTTCATTCCACACATATCTCTAGCTTCTCGATTACTGCCTGTTTCAAAACTTCAGATGAACAAACAGTGAAAGCATCTGTGGTTCTACTGAATTTATTATTTGTGCATTTCCAGTGTAGTGTTGGCAAAAGCAAACACCAGGAAGCTAGTGAAACCCGCCTCCTGGTAAAAGGTCTTCCATTTCCAGGTCCCCAGAGACCCTCTGTGACAAGAGCATCTCAAGAGCGGGAAACCCACTCTGGTTAGTACTAGTTAGTTCTCTCGGGTTTTTCAAAGGCCTTCGGAAGGAAGGCCTGGGTGTTTGGCAGCTTGGCGCATGCGTAGCGTGCCCAACTCCTTCTTCCGCATGTTCCGGAAGCGGCGGTTTGTCCCGCCCCTTCTCTCGTCCGCTCGGGCGGAGCCTGCGGCCGCCTGGGCGAAGAGGCGGGACACGTCGGCGCTACCTCGGCCACCGCCCCCCTCCTCGGGTTCCAGCAGCCGCCGCCGCCGCCGCCGCTGCCGCCGCTTCCTGGGCCGAGTCCTCCCGCGGCCCCAGCGGCGCCAGGTGCCCTCGCGTGCCCAGCTCGGTCTGCGCCCAACGCCAGCGTCCCGGCCCGCCGCTCAGCCGCTGCCGAGATGGCGACGCGCTCCTGCCGGGAGAAGGCTCAGAAGCTGAACGAGCAGCACCAGCTCATCCTGTCCAAACTGCTGAGGGAGGAGGACAACAAGTACTGCGCCGACTGCGAGGCCAAAGGTAGCGCGGGGCATGGGGGCCGCCCGGTCGGGCCTCCTGCGGCCATGACCTTCCCGCCGCCGCGGCGCCTCTGCTGCTGGGGTCGCGGGTCCTGACGGGAGGACGGACAGCTGGGCGTCCCCTCACCCAGCCGGGTCTCCGGCCTCAGTCTCCTTGGCGCCCGATTCCCGGTGCTGCCACCTCCCCGGGGCCCGGCAGGGAGCGCGGAGCCGGATGCCGGCCGGGAGGTGGGAGAGGGCTGAAGGAGCCCTCCTGCCTCAGCCGCGGCTGCTCCGTGGGTGGGGCCGCCCTTGCGTTCCCGTCCCCGTCGCGTGTGACCACGTCCTCTGTCCGATGGAGCCCTACCTGCCTACTCACTTGACAGCTTTTTGTACAGGGCGTTTCTGGAAAAGAGGATGATGGTTGTTTTGGGGTGGGTTTCGCTGCATAAAATAATAGAGGGAGGGCCCTCATTATTAATATATATGATACACATGCACATACATATATATATGTAATTTGGATGTTACAATGTAGAGGAATTTCATTCCATGGGTCGTTTGGAAACAGGGCTGTGTTCTTGGAGAGCTTAGTAGTTAGATTCTCTCAGACCAGCTATTTTTGGAGACTTTGGACCCCGTTTGTCTTCTTCATAAGCGGGGAAAGTGCATTTTAAAGATACAAAGATGGGGAGAAAAATCCCGAATTTTACTTGAGTTGGAGGGCTTCTGCCTGAGCCTTTGAAATAAAGACACTATTTTTAGCTGGTATGTTTTGTTTGGAGCTGTGAATTGTTTTTAATGTAAGTAATTTCATGGAGAAGCATGTTTCAGGTTTTTACAAGCCTTCTATGTAGTTAGGAAAACAGGTTATTAACTGTAAATGGGTTTATTTGATTATTCTCTGGAAATAGGTAGCTCTTCAATGGAGAGACAGACTTTGGGAATGCTGCCTAAGTTTTCTGTATTATTTTACCCATACTTAAGGCTTTACTCTTCTCTGAACACTTATTGCAGTAGACTGGTGATATTTGATTAAATTGAGCCACACAGCATCTGTAAGGTACCGCTCTGTACTGACAGCTACTGCATTATTGGAAGAATCACTTATAAATACCTTAATTGGAAAATTTATGAGGCACTTTTCAATATTATAGTAACTTGACTGAGTTAACCTTATACTTACCCTATGTAATCATCAGGCAGTGCATTTAAAAAAAGCATGCCTGGTTTTGGTGGTAATATTGCCTACTTGATGCTTGATTGTACATAGAGTGATTTGGTACTGTATTGGGCCTCGGTTATTTGCACTGTATTAGTAAAACACTCAAAAAGAGGTCTTTAAAACATCGGAAGAAGAAAGAAACTGGAGTTACGGAGCTTACATTTTGTCATCTTGAGTCATAACATGATTTAGTAGAGATGCTGATAAATACTAAATCTGTTCATTAAAATTAATTCAATAATTTCCTTTTACATAGAGAAGTAATTTAAAATAACTTTAAAACTTATTTCTCCAAAAAGTATTGTATAAAATCAGATTTCCACAAATATTTATGAAATAATTTTTGTTTTTAAAAGCCTTTATTTTTATTAGTCATGTGTTAATATTTTTTAAATTTACTTTTTGGGAGATGGCGGGAGGAGAATCATGTGCTTTAATTAGGTTAAGAAGCTTCACTTCTGATCTGAAGAATAGGAAACATTTCTTTTGCTCACTGACCACTGAGGTCAGTCCATATATGTTGAATGGATATCTTTTTAGTTTGGCCTGTTTAGTTATTTATTTTTTTCCTCTTTTTGAGAAGTGGAGGAAATGGGATAGACTAGTATCAAGAGTTCAGTGGTGTACTTGAAGGTTATGAAATCTATAGTCATGATTTAGAAAGCTGATTTCCCTTGTTTCTACTAAATCTAGAATAATGTTAAAGTTTCTGTAAATTGTTTTATCTTGATATTTCAGGAAAAATTTACAGTATATACAGCCATTTCTTAGCTTAACTAGGCTTGGTTTTATAACTGTGTTTTATACATACACACACAGACACACACACACACACACACACACACACACACACATGTGATAGGATTCAATCCCCAGGTCCTTATACGTGCTAGGTAAAAACTTTACCACTCCTGGTTGGCCTCTGTCTTGTGGTTTTCCTGTCTCTGCTTCCTAGATTATGCACCGTCACACATAGCTTCATTGAAATGTATTTTTGCAGAGTTTTTGTGTTTTTGGTATAGGTGAGCCCATTATGGTATATTCTTATAATAGAATTCTTAGCTTGTTATATGCTTTTGGATTTATTAGTATGTATCCCAGAAAACCATAATAGATGTGAGTGGTGGTGTTCTGATTAAATGTACTTGTAAAAAGACATGATGAGGAGCTCATTTTATTGAGAGATTCCATTCTGTATATGTACTGATGTTCCCCTTGCTGTATATAGTAAATTACATTAAACTTTTAATCCATCTTGAAGTATTTCCTAGTTAACTCATTTCCCTTCTTTTGGAAAAAATGTTTCCCCCATTGATCTTTGAGAACATGTACCAAAACTAAAGCCTAGAGTTTAAGTTGCCCTATTCTGTTACCTTATGATAGTTGGCAGGGAAATGCTAGTTGGATTTTGACATTTTCTTAGTCATTAGCTTGTGTTTCCTGTATTGATAATATTTAGGGAGTAAGGAAGGAGAAAACGATGGCACCGGTGCCAATTCCTGCTCTTGATCTTGACCCTATACTTAAATACGTTGTGCAACTGGAGAGCAAGAGCTGGCAGATGGAGCTGCACTTTTCTGGCTGCTTTTGCAACTCTGTGGGAGTTTTAAAGCAGTTCTGTTGATTATTAATTGATGGCAGAACAGGACAGTGAGGACGGAGAGATCCCTTTGTCATCTCACAATTTAATTTTTCAAACTTAAAGTTTCATCCAGAAGTAAAACTAGCTTTGATTTCAAAATATATAAAACTGAAATGAAAATGATTCTCTTCCTCAGTAAGCTTTAGAAGTAGTCAGAAACTCAGGTTTTGAATTTTAAAGTTCATTTTTTTCAGACTGGTGTTCAGAAGATAAGCTGATTATTCAGATCAAACACTCATTTTTTTCATTCCACAGGTCTTGAGGACAGCTAAGTGCTGGATTAGATTATGGGGCAGAAAGATTTGTAAGACTGAAAAGAGTATGTTTAATGGAGATTATATATTTGCAGATGAGTAGTACTGAAACAGTATAGTAAGTGAAAGGGTAGTGGCTATAAGAAGTAACCTGCCCTCTTGTTTATTTCTTGTGATTTCCCCGAGTCCTGACTTTTGCTCACTGGTTGTCTTTATAATTCCTTTAATTCCTAATTTGAATGCTGCATCAAAGCCTTAGTACATGCTATTCCTTCTCCCTAGGAACCCTCTCTTCACCTTGTTTTGCTTCTACTAATCTTCAGGTTTTTCTTAAGTCTTTTTCCAGGGAAACAATTCTTCATCCTCCCAGACTAAGTTATGCTTCTGTTTATACATTTAAGACTTAAGTCAGCGTTCTGAATCTTTTATTACACTTAACACAGTTATAATTTAAACATTACAGAAGTAACTATTGAATACTTCATATTTCTGTTGGATTATCACTGCAAAGGGGAAGAGATCTTGTTTATCTTGCTCAGAGTAGTTTCCCCAGCCCTAAGTACAGTTTGTGACATGTGGTAGGTAAATGTAACTCAACAAATACCTTTTGAATGAATGAATGAATGAATGTGTGAATGAGTCTCAGTAACAGGCAGCAGGATGTGTGAATTAGAACACACCTGTAAAAGGGTGTGGCATTTGGAATAACCCTGTTAGTCACAAGAGTCTTATGTGAATTGAATGTACAAGGGAATTTCACTAGGTAGAGCTCTTTACACAAGGGAATGGTGTATAAAAGGTAGAAGTGATTTCCATATGGATGTTTTGTCTTGGTAAACTGTCTTTATTAGATAGTGGATAGTGGCAAATTAGAAGAAGAATCAGAATTGAGAAGAGATCATAGGGAAGGCTCTGAGTGAGCAGTCAAAGGAAGAGGGTAAGAGGACCTTATTTCATGTGATGCTAACATATTAGTCAAGAAACAGATCTGTTGTAGCTATTTTTGGTAAAGGGTTTAAGGAATCAGAGGAAGAACTATAGGAGGTAAAAGTTCAGGAGTCATTTCTGGACTTTAGCTTTTGAGGCTACATATCCTGCCACTGTTGCCATGGCCCCATTACCATGGATGCTTTCACTCACACAGCTGCTAAGTTGATGAGAGGACTATAAGACATTTTTGTCAGTTGTTCCTAACTGTAGGAATATGCTTGTGCTTTCCGTGGGTATGTTACTGTCAGAACCTAATCTGTTCAGATACCTTGCCTTTCAGGGAGGTTTAGCTTTCTAATGTCTTTAAAAAGTAGAAATATGCAGAGCCTATTGCTGAGTAAGGGCAGTCTGAGTGAGAGTTAACCACCTGCAATGAGGTTGGAGAACTTTTTTCAGTGTTTTTATTATTTTGGAGTTGTTATATAAACCTATTCTAGAGGAATTTTCACTGAAAAGTTAAGTCTACCCTGAGGGACTGATGTTTACGATGATGTTGATACTTGCAGAAATTAGTTTATATAAATAAAAGTGTGTAGTTATAATTCAGAAAGAGATTTGCCAATCTGCTGATCGGTTTTCTCACAAGATGACTGTGTGCAGATCCCTGGGATTAGAGCTGGAATGCAAACCCCTGGTCTTTCTCTGACATATTAGTTTAAAACTTGGGCTGTATGTTGTTTCTCTTCTCCCCAGTTGGTCAAACTGATTGGCTGGAAAGCTATAGGGATCCTCCAGCCTGTGCCTCTTTAGCATTGGAATTATAGGCTGCTCCACCATGCCTGTTTTTTTTTTAACATGTGTGCTGGGATCTGAATGCATCCTGCTTGCATGGCAAACATGACTGAGCCCATCTCCCCAGCGCTAAACCTTTTTACTTTTATGTTTTGAAGTATAAAGAAAATTTTCTTGAG